AATATCTAATCTAAACCTCCCCTGCCGCAACTTCAGACCATTTCCTCTGCTCCTGTCATTATTCCCTTGGGAGAAGAGGCCAAGCCCCACCTCTCTACACCCTCCTTTCAGGGAGTTGTAGAGGGCAATGAGGTCCCCCCTCAGCCTCCTCTTCTCCAAACTAAACATGCCCAGTTCCCTCAGCCTCTCCTCATAGGACTTGTTCTCCAGACCCCTCCCCAGCCTGGTGGCTCTCCTCTGGACACGCTCCAGCAGCTCAATGTCCTTCATGTGGTGAGGGGCTCAGAACTGAACACAGCACTCGAGGTGAGGCCTCACCAAAGCCCAGTACAGAGGCACGATGACTTCCCATGGTGGGATCAGACCCTCCCAGGAACCCATCGCAGCCCGAGGCAGAGCTCCGGGCAGCAGCGGGGCCCTACAGGGGTTGGGGCTGCCCCCCCTCCCCTGCAGACCCCAAAACCCACCCAGGGCACAGCGGGCAGGGGGAGGCCACCACCGGCTGAGGCCTACCCGACCCCAGAGGGATGGAAGGAGGAAGGGAGGGAGGCGGGCAATGGCGGGGGCGCACGGGGAGCCCCAGCCCAACGGGATCCCTTCCCCACAGACCCCCACAGCCCCCAAAAGAGCAGCCAGGCCCCTGCAGCGCCCAACAACCGGCCTTACCTGCCCCACGACAGCGGCCGGAAAGGGGAAAAGGGGACAGGGCACCAGGAGAAACGTAAGACCAGCCCACCCAGTGCTCCTGGTCCTGCTCTGACACAGCTCTGCTCCCACCCACACTGCCCCCTCCCCACAGGCCACAGGGGGACCCTGCACTCACCCAGGACTCCTCTGTGCATCCTTCTGCCTGTAGCACCAGGCACCCCTGGGTGGAGTGAATGTCCTCCCTCAGGGAGACTCAGGGGCACCTCTATGCTCCCATCACTGGAGCAGAACCCCTTCTTCTCCTCCATGGCACCCTAGAAAGGGAAATCACTTTGCTCAAGACAAGCAAGATCTTGCCTGCTTCAAGCCTGGATTGAATTCAGGTTCTCCACTGCTGCTCTTATTGGTGTGATGAGAGATAGCACAGAACATTAGTCATCAGAGTGTGTCTGCTGGCAGCAGGGCCATCTTCCACAGGAAAGGCAGCCAGGTGACACAGGCAGGTATAAGGCAAGGGGTATTTGGGGACGAAAAGGCAAGGGGTATTTGGGGACGAAAAGGCAAGGGGTATTTGGGGACGAAAAGGCAAGGGGTATTTGGGGACGCTCCCTACCTGCACCCACGCACAAACTCGCTCCTTCCACGCTCTACGCTGAGGAACTCGCTGTTTATAAAGCCCCGCCAGGAGCCGGCCAATGAGCGTACAAGAAGGAAGAGTGGAGGGTGAGACAGCCAATGGGAACGCTGCTTGGAAGAGAACCCACCCACCCCCGGAAGAGCTCGGCCAAGGGCTGGGCAAAGCCCAAAATGGTCAGGGTTGCCCATGAACGAGAAGGCATTTTTCTGGCCCAGAAAACCAGAACCACCTCCTTCTCAAATATCCACCACAAGTTGGTAGAACCTGCACAGGAACAGGTAACCAGAAATAGAGATGTGGACTGGGGGGGCGAGGGGGGAGGTGAGGTGGTGAAAAGAGCAATTCTTTGCCAGGTTCAGCCGCCACTACTAATTAGTGGGGCGGGAGTTAGTAATTAGTGATGTGGTTTGGCGGCTGGAAGCCCCAGAGTGCTCAAAAGTGCTGAGATTGGGACTGGGGCTGAGGAATCCAGTGTTTTTCCTCTGGGGGTGGTGGGACCCCGGCCCAGGTCGCCCAGAGAGGGGGGAGGACAGGTCACCCCTCTGTCCGCCCTGGTGCCCCCCAGAAAGGGGGCTGTGGCCCCTCTGCCCGGCCCGGCCACCGCCGTTCATCTTTGGGGGAGGTTGTGGCAGGGCGGAGCTGTTTCATGTTAGAAAGCATGATCTAGGAAACTGCAGCAGGAAAAGTGAGGTTAAAATAACACAGGAAGTGTCTGTGTGTGTCTCTGTTGTTCTTCTGAACTTAGTGCTGCAGGTTCCCGAGATAAGTCACAGTTACAGCCAGGCTGTCACCAGCAGATCAAAAACCAAAGGCAGACGTTGCTGAGGAACAGAGGAAGGTTGTTAACCCTTTCCTGGGATCCTGCCACCAGAGAGGTTTGTTGTTAAAGAGAAGATGCTGAGGAGGCAGAGGCTCTCAGCGCTTCCATCACCTCCCTCTTCACCAGCACTCCAGGCTCCGGGAACAACTGGAGCAAAAGCCGTGGCCGTTCTCAGTGACAGCCCCCAACCCCTGCCTGTTCCGAGAGCGGGACGCCCCCAACCCACCCCCATTTTGGCCTGGGGGGGGGAGGGTGTTTCCCCGGTTGGAGGCAGAGCCAGGGGATGCCGCTGGCACGGAGCCCTCAGCCAGGGATGCTGCCCGAGCAGGGGAGGAGGGAGGCAGCTCCCCCCTTGGGAGACTGGGACTGGGTCTGAGCAATAAAGTTTTTTTCCTCTGGGGGTGGTGAGACCCCGGCCCAGGTTGCCCAGAGAGGGGTGGAGATGGCCCCATCCTTGGAAACATCTCAGGGCAGGATGGACGGGGCCAAGAAGGTCAATGGTCTCCTGGGGGGCATCCAGGAGTGCCGGTAGCCCTGGAAGAGGCTGCCCAGAGTGGGTGTGGAGTCTCCTTCTCTGAAGATATTCAAAACCTGCCTGGCCACATTCCTGTCCAATCTGCTCCTGATTTGGGATCAGTTGGACTGGATGATCTCCAAAGGTCCTGATCACTGTATAATTCCATCACAAAGGCATTCAGCCAAGTCTTCTCCAGATTTAGCAGCTGATTCACCTGGAACTCCATCGTTTGTTGTTTTTTTTTTCTTCCCAAACCTCACGTTCCCTTGATAGAGCCTTCTCCTCTCCCTTGCCTGGCGTTGAGCAGGTTCCTCTCTTCTCCCCTCATCCCAGCAGGAGTGAAGCTTGGCTTTGCCAGGCTCTCCCCAGGGTGTCTGTCCTGGGCTCAGCTGGGATGGGCTTGACTTTGGGGGCTCTCAAGGCCTGGTCTTCTCCTCCTTCCAGTGAGTGTGCTGGGGGGAGCCACCAAAAATTGGGACAAAACCTCTTCCTCTTCCCATTCTCACGCCCATCCCAGCTGGGGGCAGTGAGCCGAGGGGCTGCGTGGTGCCGACTGGGATAAACCACCTCGGTGTCCCAGGGGCAGGACATGTCACCCCTCTGCCCTCCCTGGCGCCCCCCAAAAAGGGGGCTGTGGCCCCTCTGCCTGGCCTGGCCACCACCGTCCATCCCTGATGGGGTTTGGTGGTGCCAGCGCAGAGCAGGCACCGAGCTTCTGTCCTGAGGGCCAAACTGGGAGGTCACCAAGTCCTTTGGTCACCCCCTTTGTCTGGGCAATGTCCCAAGAGCTGGACACCATTTAACAAGGGACTGGAACCACAATCCAGCTGATAAACCCTTCCTCGCTCCAGAAATGGCCCAGGTAAAGAAGAGTAAATATTCATCACAAGTTCTCCCTATGTTGGTCTTGCAGAGGCAGCACGGGAGTGAGCGTCACCCTCAAAAAATTAAACCCTGTCTGTTACCCAGGTCTCAACCTTTTCAAAAAACACCTCAGACCCACAATTCTGTTTTCCGGCTGCAGAGGGGGATGGAGAAGGGGAGAGGGAGAGGGAGAGGGAGAGGGGAATCTGAGCAGAGAAAATGAAGGGAGGGAGGGGTCATCATCCAAAGGGGGATGTGGTTTTGGGGACCATCCTGCTTCCACAACCACTCCTCAGAGCGTGAGCAACCCCATCTTTAAGTGCCTGCAGGTGGAAATGGGACCGAAAAGGGACAGAATGGAAAGGGGAGACCCCAACTGGAAGGGGAAAAGCCCCCCCCAGCCATCACGGCACAGGGAGAGGGGACCGGTGCCGAGCAGCCCGGGGAGGGCTGGGGAGAGGCCAAGGTGGCTTCCACGGGCGCAGAAAAGAAAAAGCTTTTCACTTTTAATTTAAGTTACTTTTAATTAAAGCCTGGGTGAGTTAGCAGCAAGAGGAGCTAGAACAGGAACCTCTTCTCTCCCCTGGGATTCTGTGCAGCATCAGCAGAAAGTTCCCAAAGAGGAGGAGTTGAATCTTTTAGAGGAAAAAGCTGTAGAGCTGGGTTGACTCACAGTATTTTCCGCTCTATAAAGTGAACTTTTTTCCACTTTTCTACAGTATAAACAGCTTATATTTTATTTCTCCCTTATTTTGTTCTTTTCTTCCCAGAGTCGATTCTGTGCAGCATCAGCAGAAAGTTCCCAAAGAGGAGGAGTTGAATCTTTTAGAGGAAAAAGCTGTAGAGCTGGGTTGACTCACAGTATTTTCCGCTCTATAAAGTGAACTTTTTTCCACTTTTCTACAGTATAAACAGCTTATATTTTATTTCTCCCTTATTTTGTTCTTTTCTTCCCAGAGTCGTCTCTTATTTGGATGCCAAAGCCCCTCTGGGCACCCAGGGCTGGGGAAACTGAGGCAGGGCAGAGCTGTCGGCAGCTACTTGAGGTTTCGCTGAAGGAGGATTTCAAACCGTTTTTCTCAGCAGTAAAAACAGACATGAGTAGTTTCTTCTGCTCTTCTAGAGGTACCCGCTGCACTTCCTGTGCAGCCAAAATGTGTTTACAAGGGCTGTAGCCAAAAGGCAGAAATTAACCCTTGAAATGCCCCACTGGTGAGCACTGAAGAGAAATGACTCACAGCTCTTTGTGACAATCAGCCTCTCCCAGGCTCATTTGTGGGTTTTAACTCTCATTATCATGAAAACACATCTCTCATTAGGCTTCTGGTGCTGATTAAAGCCTGTCTTCCCTGATTGAAGCCCGTCTTCCCGCTGATTTGTCCTAAAACCGCCTTTCTCGGTCTGTTCGGGTGCTTTCTTAAGGGGATATTTCTCTGTTCTCTTCTGTTTCTCGTAGACCTCCTGAGGTTTGGTGAAAACACGGTTCACTTTGTGCCCGGCGAGACACAAATACACACATCTGTAGATGAGCAATCATTAACGCAATCATTAACCCATTAACTGTGGTTGCTGTTAATAATCACGGTTCTGACTTTCCCTCCTTTGGAGCCAGAGGAACTCTTTCGAGGGCAGAAGGGCTCTATGTCTTCTCATTCCTGAAGTGCCACATCTACAGGCTTCTTAAATCCCTCCAGGGATGGTGACTCCACCACCTCCCTGGGCAGGCTGTTCCAGTGCCCGACCACTCTCTCAGCAAAGTCATTCTTCCTAATATCTAATCTAAATCTCCCCTGCCCCAACTTCAGACCATTTCCTCTGGGCCTGTCATTATTCCCTTGGGAGAAGAGGCCAAGCCCCACCTCTCTACACCCTCCTTTCAGGGAGTTGTAGAGGGCAATGAGGTCCCCCCTCAGCCTCCTCTTCTCCAAACTAAACGTGCCCAGTTCCCTCAGCCTCTCCTTGTATGACTTGTTCTCCAGTGCTCCTTGCGTGGGGCCTTGCCAGCGGCCTGCCAGGAGAACAGAACCCGTTCCTCCTGCAACGGCCCCAGGAGAAGGAAGCTCCGAAGATAATAGGAAGTGCATGTGGGGGGCGGTCCCGGAGCTGGATCACCCCCCGGGAAAGCCCCGCTGCGATCAGACCCTCCCAGGAACCCACCGCAGCCCGAGGGAGCCCGAGGCAGAGCTCCGGGCAGCAGCGGGGCCCTACAGGGGTTGGGGCTGCCCCCCCTCCCCCGCAGCCGGACCCCGCAGACCCCAAAACCCACCCAGGGCATAGCGGGCAGGGGGAGGCCACCACCGGCTGAGGCCTACCCGACCCCGGAGGGATGGAAGGAGGGAGGGAGGCGGGCAATGGCAGGGGCGCACGGGGAACCCCAGCCCGACGGGATCCCTTCCCCACAGACCCCCGCAGACCCCAAAAGAACAGCCGGGTCCCAGCAGCGCCAACCAACCGGCCTTACCTGCCCCACGGGCTGCACCGAGACACCCACGACACCCCACCGCTCCGATCCCGCCGCCGCTCTGAGGGAGGAAGGCGATATTTATACCCCTGCCACAGCCCGCCCACCGCTCCACCCAATCAGCGCGCAAGGAGGATGAGTGGCACGGGACACAGCCAATCAGAGCGCTGCGTTCAAACTCCCCTCAGGACCTGCCCCTCCCCTCTCCTTCCGCTCGGCCCCAGCGCCGCCGTTTTAGGGGGGGAAATTCCATCATTTTTAGGGAGGCATTTGCGAGGCTGCGACTCGGGGTGACGCACTGTCATATCCTCTGTCAGGCGGTTCGGGGATTTCCTTTGGAAAAGGCCACTTTGGGTGGAAAATTGGTGAGTTTTAGCCCCCTCAAGCCACGCGGGGGCGCCGGGGGAGCCCCAGCCCGACGGGATCCCTTCCCCACAGACCCCAAACGAGCGGCAGGGCCCCGGCAGCGCCCATGGACCAGCCTTACCTGCCCGACCGGCTGCACAGAGACACCCCCCGACACCGACCCGCCGTCACTCTGGGGAAGTTCAGTCTGGAACCGACTATTTTTACCCTGCCACAGCCCGCCCTCCGCTCTGCCCAATCAGCGCTCAAGAAGGATGAGTGGGGGGGGGGGCACAGCCAATCGGAGCGCTGCACAAACTCCCCTCAGGACCTGCGTTCTGCCCGGCAGCCGTTTTGGGTGGAAATGGCACCGTTCCCGGAGCCTTTCCGGAGACCACGAAGCAAAATTTCAGACGCTCAGTCACGCTGTTTTGGGACATTTTGGGTGGAAACCCGGTGATTTTGAGTCCCCCTTGGCCGCGATAGAAACCCCTTTCCCTCCCCAGTGCGGCCGTGGGTCCCCTGGTGGAGCTGAGACCTGAGAGCTCTGTCGGGGGGCTTGGGGGGGGAATATTAATTGCTTTAGCGTAAATAGATAAGTTTTGATTAGAGCGAACTTGTGGGCTGCAATACCCTGGGGCAGGGGGGTTTCCCTGCAGTTTTTTTACTTTCCTGAGAGAGTGGTCGGGCACTGGAACAGCCTGCCCAGGGAGGTGGTGGAGTCACCATCCCTGGAGGGATTTAAGAAGCCTGTAGATGTGGCAGTCCCTGTGGGGTGCTGATAGTGGGAGAAGGGGTGGCTGGAGCCCCTCCCCATCCCCCTGTGTTTTCCTGCCCATGGGGGCTCTCAGGGACCCCCCAAATCCTGACCCCCCCCCCGAGGAGGTGCTGCTGGGTAGAACCCTTCCTACTGCCTGACACCCCCACGAACAGTTATTAACACTTAGGATTTCCTACCAAAATCCACAGGAAAACTCCCCTGCCTCGGGCCATGGCGACCCACAACATTGTTCTAATTAAAACTTATTTATGCTAAAGCAGTTAATATTCCTCCCCAAAGCCCCCCAACAGAGCCCACAGGCCCTGGCTCCCCAGGGGCCACACTGGGGAGGGAAGGGGATTTACCATTTGCAGGGACGGGTAGAATGGGTAGACTAGAAAGAAACTGTCCGAGTGGCCAGGAACCAGAGCAGGCAAGCGAAAGCCCAGGCAGAACTAAATCTTGCCAGGAACATCAAAAACAATAAAAAAAGCTTCTATAGATATATCAGGGGTAAAGGCAAGACCAGGGAAGCTGTGGGCCCTCTCCAGAAGGAAACGGGAGACCTGGCCACCCAGGAGATGGAGAAGGCTGAGCTACTGAATGACTTTCTTGCCTCAGTCTTCACCAGCAAGGGCTCTAAGCACACTGCCCAAGTCACGGAAGGCAAAAACTCTCTGCAAATGAAGAGCTGCCCACAGTACGAGGAGATCAGGTTCGAGACCTGTTAAGGAACCTGGAGGTGCACAAGTCCATGGGACCTGATGAAATCCATCCACGGGTCCTGAGGGAGCTGGCAGATGAAGTTGCTAAGCCACTTTCCATCATATTTGAGAAATCGTGGCAACCTGGCAAAGTTCTCGCTGACTGGAAAAAGGGGAACACAACCCCGATACTCAAAAAAGGGAAAAAAGAAGACCCAGGGAACTCCAGGCCAGTCAGTCCCACCTCTGTGCCTGGCAAGGTCATGGAGCAGATCCTCCTGGGATCTCTGCTAAGGCACATGGGAAACAAGAGTGAAAAGTTCTTACTTTTCTGTGCCCGTGGAAGCCACCTTGGCCTCTCCCCAGCCCTCCCCGGGCTGCTCAGCACCGGTCCCCTCTCCCTGTGCCGTGATGCCTGGGGGGGGCTTTTCCCCTTCCAGTTGGGGTCTCCCCTTTCCATTCTGTCCCTTTTCAGTCCCATTTCTGCCTGCAGGCACTTAAAGATGGGGTTGCTCGTGTTCTGAGGAGTGGTTTTGGAGGCAGGATGGTCCCCAAAACCACATCCCCCTTTGGATGATGACACCTCCCTTCATTTTCTCTGCTCACATTCTCTTCTCTTTTCCATCCCCCTCTGCAGCAGGAAAAACAAGAATTGTGGGTCTGAGGTATTTTTTGAAAAAGTTTGAGACCTGGGTAACAGACAGGGTTTAATTTTTTGAGGGTGACGCTCACTCCCGTGCTGCCTCTGCAAGACCAACATAGGGAAAACTTGTGATGAATATTTACTCTTCTTTACCTGGGCCATTTCTGGAGCGATGAAGGGTTTATCAGCTGGATTGTGGTTCCAGTCCCTTGTTAAATGGTGTCCAGCTCTTGGGACATTGCCCAGACAAACAGGGTGGCCAAAGGACTTTGTGACCTCCTGGTGTGTCACCCGCTTCTTCCCAGCCGTGTGTCACCACCAAACGAGCTGTGGGTGCCCCGTCCCCTCACCCAGGTCGCTGAAGGAAGGGGGGAGCTGCTTCCCTCCTCCCCTGCTCGGGCAGCATCCCTGGCTGAGGGCTCCGTGCCAGCGGCATCCCCTGGCTCTGCCTCCAACCGGGGAAACACCCTCCCCCCCCAGGCCAAAATGGGGGTGGGTTGGGGGCGTCCCGCTCTTGGAACAGGCAGTTTCCTAGATCATGTTTTCTAAAACAAAACAGCTCCGCTGCCACCACAACCTCCCCCAAAGATGAACGGCACAGTTGGGGTCTCCCCTTTCCATTCTGTCCCGTTTTGCAGCATAGGGTTTCAAAGCTTTAACTTAGCAAAAGTACCACACAACTTCGTTAACTACCTCACGCTCTTTGAAAGGGAACCATGTTTTACGCTCGGTATCAGTCACAGAATCACAAGACCAACATAGGGAAAACTTGTGATGAATATTTACTCTTCTTTACCTGGGCCATTTCTGGAGCGATGAAGGGTTTATCAGCTGGATTGTGGTTCCAGTCCCTTGTTAAATGGTGTCCAGCTCTTGGGACATTGCCCAGACAAACGGGGTGACCAAAGGACTTTGTGACCTCCTGGTGTGTCACCCGCTTCTTCCCAGCCGTGTGTCACCACCAAACGAGCTGTGGGTGCCCCGTCCCCTCACCCAGGTCGCTGAAGGAAGGGGGGAGCTGCTTCCCTCCTCCCCTGCTCGGGCAGCATCCCTGGCTGAGGGCTCCGTGCCAGCGGCATCCCCTGGCTCTGCCTCCAACCGGGGAAACACCCTCCCCCCCCAGGCCAAAATGGGGGTGGGTTGGGGGCGTCCCGCTCTTGGAACAGGCAGTTTCCTAGATCATGTTTTCTAAAACAAAACAGCTCCGCTGCCACCACAACCTCCCCCAAAGATGAACGGCAGTGGCCGGGCCGGGCAGAGGGGCCACAGCCCCCTTTCTGGGGGGCACCAGGGCGTACAGGGGGGTGACCTGTCCTCCCCCCTCTCTGGGCGACCTGGGCTGGGGTCCCACCACCCCCAGAGGAAAAACACTGGATTCCTCAGCCCCAGTCCCAATCTCAGCACGTTTGAGCACTTTGGGGCTTCCAGCCGCCGAACCACGTCGCTAATTACTAACGTCCCAACAGGAGAGAAGTTCCTCCTCATCTTTAGGTGGAAATGTTATGTTGAAGTTTGCGCCTGTTTCCTCTTGTCCTGTGTAAGGGGTTCTTTTAGAGAGATTCCAACATGCAAAGAGCAGCTCACATGAAAACCAGAATGTGAACTCGGCTTTATTGTGAAGCCTTGATATGCAATCCCCAAATGTCCCGGAAGTTACTCAGGAGAGTTTTACCCACAAACGGAAGTCATTTAGGAGAGTTTTACCAAAGAAACGGCAGAGGTTGGTGCAGCACCTTCAGGGTGCACCCTGTAACTTCAACCTGTCTCTCGTCCTCCACCTGAGACAGCCCCCTTAGATCCTGCACCAGGGTGAGGGCAAAAGTGCCAGCAAGGGTTGCTGCACGCGTGGGCAGTGGGTGTGGGGAGCCTCGCCAGACTCGTGCTTCGCAACTGGTAGCATAAAGAGTGCTGTGTCATAAAGAAGATGGTCCTTAAAACCCACAAAGGAGCCCAAAGAGGCTGATTCTCAGAACGCTTGCGTTGTTAATCACCTTCAGTGCTCACCACTGGGAGATTTCCTTTATCCTGGTTTTCACTTCCTCTTTTTCACAGAATCTTCTAGGTTGGAAGGGACCTCAAAGATCATCTTGTCCAACCGTCAACCTAACTGACAAAAATAGACACCTGCACAACAAAGAAGCAGCATCACCATCACTAAACCATACCTCCCAGCACTACATCAACCCGTCTTTTGAACACCTCCAGGGATGGGGCCTCAACCCCCTCCCTGGGCAGCCCATTCCAGTGTCTGAGAACTCTTTCAGTGAAAAAATTTTTCCTAATATCCAGCCTTTGTTCAATATCTTTATTGATGATCTAGACAAGGGGATTGAGTGCACCCTCAGTAAGTTTGCAGATGACACCAAACTAGGTGGGAGTGTTGATCTGCTTGAGGGTCGGAAAGTCCCTCCAGTCCCCTCTACAGAGGGATCTGGACAGGCTGGATCAATGGGCCAAGGACAACGGGATGAGGTTCAATAAGGCCAAGTGCCGGGTCCTGCATTTTGGTCACAACAACCCCAGGCAACGCTACAGACTTGGGGCAGAGTGGCTGGAGAGCTGCCTGGAAGACAAGGACCTGGGGGTGTTGGTGGACAGCCGGCTGAACAGGAGCCAGCAGTGGGCCCAGGTGGCCAAGGAGGCCAATGGCACGGCCTCAGGAATTGCGTGGCCAGCAGGAGTAGGGCAATGATGGTGCCTCTGTACTGGGCCCTGGTGAGGCCTCACCTCGAGTGTTCAGTGTTCAGTTCTGGGCCCCTCACCACATGAAGGACATTGAGGGGCTGGAGCGTGTCCAGAGGAGAGCCACCAGGCTGGGGAGGGGTCTGGAGAACAAGCCATACAAGGAGAGGCTGAGGGAACTGGGCATGTTTAGTTGGAGAAGAGGAGGCTGAGGGGAGACGTCATGGCCCTCTACAACCCTTTCAGGGGAAAGGAGGGTGGAGAGAGGCAGGTGTTGGCCTCTTCTCCCAAGGGAATAATGACAGGCCCAGAGGAAACAGTCTGAAGTTGGGGCAGGGGAGGTTGAGATTAGATATTGGGAAGAATGACTTTGCTGAGAGAGTGGTCGGGCCCTGGAACAGCCTGCCCAGAGAGGTGGTGGAGTCACCATCCCTGGAGGGATTTAAGAAGCGTGTAGATGTGGCACTTCAGGAATGAGAAGACATAGAGCCCTTCTGCCCTCGAAAGAGTTCCTCTGGCTCCAAAGGAGGGAAAGTGAGAACCGTGATTATTAAGAACAACCACAGTTAATGGGATAATGATTGCGTTAATGATTGCTCATCTACAGATGTGTGTATTTGTGTCTCGAGGGCACAAAGTGAACCGTGTATTCACCAAACCTCAGGAGGTCTACGAGAAACAGAAGAGAACAGAGAAATATCCCCTTAAGAAAGCACCCGAACAGACCGAGAAGGGCGGTTTTAGGACAAATCAGCGGGAAGACGGGCTTCAATCAGGGAAGACAGGCTTTAATCAGCACCGGTAGCCTAATGAGAGATGTGTTTTCATGATAATGAGAGTTAAAACCCACAAATGAGCCTGGGAGAGGCTGATTGTCACAAAGAGCTGTGTGTCATTTCTCTTCAGTGCTCACCAGTGGGGCATTTCAAGGGTTAATTTCTGCCTTTTGGCTACAGCCCTTGTAAACACATTTTGGCTGCACAGGAAGTGCAGCGGGTACCTCTAGAAGAGCAGAAGAAACTACTCATGTCTGTTTTTACTGCTGAGAAAAACGGTTTGAAATCCTCCTTCAGCGAAACCTCAAGTAGCTGCCGACAGCTCTGCCCTGCCTCAGTTTCCCCAGCCCTGGGTGCCCAGAGGGGCTTTGGCATCCAAATAAGAGACGACTCTGGGAAGAAAAGAACAAAATAAGGGAGAAATAAAATATAAGCTGTTTATACTGTAGAAAAGTGGAAAAAAGTTCACTTTATAGAGCGGAAAATACTGTGAGTCAACCCAGCTCTACAGCTTTTTCCTCTAAAAGATTCAACTCCTCCTCTTTGGGAACTTTCTGCTGATGCTGCACAGAATCCCAGGGGAGAGAAGAGGTTCCTGTTCTAGCTCCTCTTGCTGCTAACTCACCCAGGCTTTAATTAAAAGTAACTTAAATTAAAAGTGAAAAGCTTTTTCTTTTCTGCGCCCGTGGAAGCCACCTTGGCCTCTCCCCAGCCCTCCCCGGGCTGCTCGGCACCGGTCCCCTCTCCCTGTGCCGTGATGGCTGGGGGGGGCTTTTCCCCTTCCAGTTGGGGTCTCCCCTTTCCATTCTGTCCCTTTTCGGTCCCATTTCCACCTGCAGGCACTTAAAGATGGGGTTGCTCACGCTCTGAGGAGTGGTTGTGGAAGCAGGATGGTCCCCAAAACCACATCCCCCTTTGGATGATGACACCTCCCTCCCTTCATTTTCTCTGCTCAGATTCCCCTCTCCCTCTCCCTCTCCCTCTCCCCTTCTCCATCCCCCTCTGCAGCCGGAAAACAGAATTGTGGGTCTGAGGTGTTTTTTGAAAAGGTTGAGACCTGGGTAACAGACAGGGTTTAATTTTTTGAGGGTGACAATCACTCCCGTGCTGCCTCTGCAAGACCAACATAGGGAAAACTTGTGATGAATATTTACTCTTCTTTACCTGGGCCATTTCTGGAGCGAGGAAGGGTTTATCAGCTGGATTGTGGTTCCAGTCCCTTGTTAAATGGTGTCCAGCTCTTGGGACATTGCCCAGACAAACGGGGTGACCAAAGGACTTTGTGACCTCCTGGTGTGTCCCCCGCTTCTTCCCAGCCGTGTGTCACCACCAAACGAGCTGTGGGTGCCCCGTCCCCTCACCCAGGCCGCTGAAGGAAGGGGGGAGCTGCTTCCCTCCTCCCCTGCTCGGGCAGCATCCCTGGCTGAGGGCTCCGTGCCAGCGGCATCCCCTGGCTCTGCCTCCAAACGGGGAAACACCCTCCCCCCCCCAAGGCCAAAATGGGGGTGGGTTGGGGGCGTCCCACTCTCGGAACAGGCAGGGGTTGGGGGCTGTCACTGAGAACGGCCACGGCTTTTGCTCCAGTTGTTCCCAGAGCCTGGAGTGCTGGTGAAGAGGGAGGTGATGGAAGCGCTGAGATCCTCTGCCTCCTCAGCATCTTCTCTTTAACAACAAACCTCTCTTGTGGCAGGATCCCAGGGAAGGGTTAACAGCCTCCTCTCTTTGGTTTTTGATCGACTGCCTGTCACAGCCTGGCAGTGACTCTGACTCATCTCGGGAATGCAGCACTAAATTGGGAAGAACAACAGAGACACACACAGCCACTCCA